GCCCAAGGGGTCGCTTCCGCGCTGCCAGCGGGCCATCAAGGGCTTCCTCAAGGACGACCCGCCGCGGTCGGAGGACCCGTGCCCGATCGAGGCCGCCGCCATCTTGGCCTTCGACCTCCTGGGGCAGCCGACAGTCACGGCAGCCGCCGCCGGGCTCGCGTTTCTCACGCAGTACGACACGTTCGCGCGGCCCTCGGAGATCCTGAACCTGAAGAAGGAAGACGTCATCGTGCCGAGCGCCGCCGGCTACAAGCAGACCTGCATCATTGTGGCCCCGCAGGCGGCCAAAGGCAGCTCGACGCCGGCGAAGCCGGCAAAGTCAGGCGAGTTCGACGACACCGTCGTCGTGGGGCTCGAAGGGCTCGGGCTGCCGTTCATCCCTCAGCTGCTGCAGTCCCTCAGAAGCCAGGCGCCCAAAGGCGCGAAGCTCTTGGCCCCGCTGACGCTGCCCCGCTACGAGAAGGAGATCAAAGACGCGGCAGTGCGCTGCCGCCTGACCGACTTGAACATCACGCCGCACTCAGCCCGCCACGGTGGGCCGTCCACGGCCGCCCACCGGAAGCTGCTCAGCCTGGCGGAGATCAAAAAGAGAGGCCGTTGGCTCACGTCCAAGTCGGTGGCCCGCTACGAAAAGACCGGGAAGCTCCTCCGCCAGGTCGCCGTCATGGGGGCCAGGGACGTCGCTCGCGGCGTGCAGCTGCTGGAAGGCAAGCGCGGCTCGGCCTCGTCAGAGCTGGCAGCTCGCGCGTTGCTGGTGGCCAAGAACATCCACCGGCTGCGCCGAGGCGTGCCGATGCGCGCCTGAGCAACGCCTGACTAGGCAATGGCCCGCTCAGAGTATATGATACCAGTCATGAGGCATTGGCAAATTGTGAGAGTTTCCCGAACCCGCCCACCCGTCTTGTACAAGACCAAGATCTGGGATATTGGAAATTTGGCCGTAAGATGTCTCGACATTCGCTCTTGGGATCCTCGCCGGCTCCAGGCCCTGTGGTCCAGCTCAGATCTCTTTCAGCAGCCTCGCTTGAGGCGGACAGTGAGTCACGAGGAAAATGATATGTGAGTGAGTCGAGCCGTTGGCCCTTCCTCTCTCTCTGCCCTCGGCCCTCGTGGGGCCGCCGCTTTGTCCCGGGGACCCCCGGTGCTCGCGCCGGTGGGTGGCGGGCCCTGGCGGGGCTCGTGGGCCTCCGGGGGTTTGCCTTTCGTCCCCTTCTCTCTCCCTCCTGCCTGGCGGTTCCCGTAATGCCCCCGCTAACGGTACAGATAATTGCCAGTTGTACGCGTCTTATCTGCAGTGGGAGGGGTTGGTTCCGAAGGCGCCCAGCCCGCCCTCCCCCTTTTAATGTTCCGAGTTTCGATTCCGTTCGACTCGAGCGTGCTCGAGGCCGTAAGATGTCTCGACATTCGCTCTTGGGATCCTCGCCGGCTCCAGGCCCTGTGGTCCAGCTCAGATCTCTTTCAGCAGCCTCGCTTGAGGCGGACAGTGAGTCACGAGGAAAATGATATGTGAGTGAGTCGAGCCGTTGGCCCTTCCTCTCTCTCTGCCCTCGGCCCTCGTGGGGCCGCCGCTTTGTCCCGGGGACCCCCGGTGCTCGCGCCGGTGGGTGGCGGGCCCTGGCGGGGCTCGTGGGCCTCCGGGGGTTTGCCTTTCGTCCCCTTTTCTCTCCCTCCTGCCTGGCGGCTCCCGTAATGCCCCCGCTAACGGTACAGATAATATGTATACTTCTTCGCCCCCCGCGTTTTCCCATAAACGGACGCCCGAAGAGGGCAAGAGTCTCTCACGCTTGGTGGCACCAAAGTGGCCCGCAGAATTTGAATTGCTTCCGGCCCAGAAGTAGCGTCAATGGTACATTTTCAGGCTTTGGAGCCTCTGGACGCCCTGGAAGAGGTCATGAGGGGCCCTTGAAGGTATGAGCGTGTGGCCTGCGGCCGTGTTGAGCTCGTCTTGGGTTGCTGTTGGACCTGCTTCTACGTGTCTTGAGGCCGTCCTCGGTCGATCATGCACTGTCTTGGAGCCGTCATTGGGGCCTCGTTGGACCGCTGGGAGACCGTACAGAGCGGGCCACGGGTGTCGTGAGGCCTCATGGTGATTCCCGCATACGTTTTGGAAGACATGTGTGTCCAAGAAATGTGGACAGTCAGAACACCGAAGCAGAACATGTGTTCACCATGTGCAAATTCATTCCTTTGTTTTCATCCTCCTCATCTTCCTCCTCCGTCACGCCCAGGAACGCAACAATAAATCATCTCGTTTCATCCCTTTTCCTTCATCCTCTCCCTCCCTCTCTCTCTTTCTCTCTCTCTCTCTCTCTCTTTCCCTCCTTCTCATCTTTCTCATTGCCACGTGCGCATGCTGAGCAATATTTCAGGCTGGTGAGCCTCGACTGGAGCACAGCTCCAAGTTGTCCTGACCTTCTTGGCATGGTCCAGAGCACTTGCCCTGCCCATGCCGCTTCCGCGAGAGGGTGCTTCCCCTAAGCAGTGCTGTCCGGCATCGTCTCTCTGGATAAGCATGTTCTCCCCCGCTGTTCATACTGGCTGGTGCGATTCGCCCACCAGGAGGCAGCAGGAAACAGAAGCGGCACAGCGACGTGCGACGGGCCTGGCCCGGATGGCAGGGCAAACGCAGGATGCGAACAAGAACGTGGCATCATCATTGCAGAAGTTCGCGGCGCATTTGTGGAGAGCAAGGGGGGGAAGGGACCGGGGGACGGAGCTTGCACAAGATCAAACGGTCCGGGTGCAGCGGAAACAGGAAACGACCCGCCGAGTTCAGTTGAGCGCGTGGTGGCATGGAGGTCGCGCATGAAAGAGGGTTGGCATAGGCACGGGCGCGGCAAAAGGAGGGGCGGGCAGGTGGGCACGTGGTGGAGGGGCAAGCCTTCCAAAAGGGGTCAGAGCAGGCGGGGTCGGAGGATTGCCGGGGCGGGGGAGACTGACACAGCTGCAGGGCCCCTGGGGCGTGGAAGGGGGGGATGGGGCGCTCGCACAGGAGGGGTCATCGATGGGACATGGGGCAAACAAAATGTACCGATACCACTACTGGCACGGCCTCTCCGTGGGCGCGTTCGGGCCAGGATTTCGAGGCGAATCTCGCGGTGGCGACGAGGGCCTCCTGGGAGGCCCCAAAAGGGGAGAGCGGGCGAAGGGTAGAGGTATGGGTACCTTTTCTTCCTCCGAGGACTGTCCCCCCCTCGTGGTCCCTCCTCCTCCTTCTCCTCCTTCTCCTCCTCCTCCTCCTCCTCCTCCTATTGGCCTGGATGCGGGACTTGGGATGGGGGGTTCGATCGAGGCACCAGAGGCATGTTGCGGTCGAGGACTCTCCTGCAGTGCCCTGTGCCCCTCGGCTCTCTCCTGAAGAGGGCGGGGGCCCGTCCTGAAGTGACAGGATCTCTCGTCCAGCGATTATTTTCACATGTGGTCTGCTTCGAGCGCCATCTGTTTGTGGGCCCTGCTGGTGGCGGAAGTGGCAATGGGTTGCGACGCCGAACCCAAACACCACCCAGCAGGAGCCCACTCTCCTTCAGTCGATGCTTTCGCGTCGGCCGAGGTCGAGGCCAGCGGTCGGACGTGGACCTTCTCGGGTACGTCGTCTCCTCCTCCTCCTCCTCCTCCTCCTCCTCCTTCTCCTCCTCCTCCTCTTCCTCCGAGGACTGTCCCTGCTCAGTCTCCTCCGTGCTCCCTGCTCGGGATGGTCATCCTGGGGCGGCAGCATCAGTAGCGGAGGCGGGCGGGTGCGGCAGCAGAGCAGCGGAATTCGGGCAGCAACAGCGGGGCGGGAGCAGCAGCGGCGGGAAGGGGAGGAGGAGGAGGAGGTGGAGGAGGAGAACGAGGAGGAGGAGGAGGAGGCAGGAGGAGGGAGAGGGGGTGGAAGAGAAGGGGGAGGAGGAGGGGAGGGAGGATGAGTGTGAGGATGAGAAGGAGGAAGGGGAGGAGGGGAAGGAGGAGGAGGAGAGGAGGAGGGGGAGGAGGAGCAGGAGGAGGAGGAGGAGGAGAGGAGGAAGAGGAGGAGGAGAGGAGGTAAGGGAGGAGGAGAGGAAGGAAGAGGAGGAGAGGGAGGAGGTGAGGGAGGAGAGGAGGAGGAGTAGAGGAGGAGGAGGAGGAGGAGGAGCAGAGGAGGAAGGAGGAGGGGAGAGGGGGGGGGAGGAGAGGGAGGAGGTGAGGGAGGAGGGGGAGGAGGAGGAGGAGGAGGAGGGGAAGGAGGAGGAGGAGGAGGAGGAGGAGGAGGAGGAGGAGGAGGGGGAGGAAGAGGAGAAGAAGGCGGAGGAGGAGGACTCCTACGAGGATGAGGGAGAGCGGCGGCAGGAGGAGGGGGATGAGGTGAGGGAGGAGGAGGAGGAGCGGTGCTTGCGGGCGGAACGCGGTGCTCACAAGCACGGTGTGATGCTCGCAGGCGTGGTGTGATGGCCACAGACAGGTCGATGTTGTGTTCGTTAGCTACTGGCGTTCAATGGCACAGCGTGGTGCTCGCAGGCGCAGTTGTGCTCACAGACATGTTATGGTAGTGTTCGCATGAATTTGGCATGCTCACATGTCGAGTTTGGTGCTGACTGGGTCTGGAATGCTCCAGTGCGTGCTGGTGGCGGCCGCAAGCTACTGCGCTAGAGGCAGGATATGGCTTCCCTCGCCGCTTGTTGGTCGTGAGCGCGCTGTGGTGCTCACAGGCATGTAACGTGCGCGCCGGGGTGGTCACAGGGAGCTTCTTGTGCTCGCAGGCGTATGTCTGTGCTCTCTGGCTATTGTGCTGGAAGGGTCCGGTATAATGTTGTGATTGTTTTCAATGTTGCTGTGGTACTCGGATGCTACTGCTGTGCTTGCAGGTTGTGGCGCTCGCGAGTTCCTGTGGGATTGGCACGGTCTGGCCTTTTGCCGTGGATCTGGTAACGGTCGCTACTTGTTGTGGAAATGACGGGGTATGGATTTCCAAGCCGTCTGATCGTCGCAATCACACCGTGGTGCTCTCAGGGGCTTGTTGTGTTCGCAGGCGTACCGCTGCGCTCGCAAGCCTATTGTGGTAGGCATTTCGTATGTTTTCTGCACACATGATGGTGCTCGCAGGCTTTTGTGGCCTGGCGTGGTCGGGCTTCATCACATGCTGATCGCACGCGCATTGTGGCACCCACAGGCATATCGTGGCGCTCGCAAGCGCACCGTGGCAGACGCAGGCTGTTTCGCTACTGGCAGTCTCGTGCGCATTGTTCTACGTACTTGTGGAATTGCTGCCGACTTCGCAGCCAGTCTTCGTAGGTTGCTGCGTTCACAAGAATATTGCGCAATTTTGGAAAGCTCTGGCGTGCTGCTGTGACCATCGCGGCGGTCGCAGGCTACTGTGGACTTGTGCACCTGGCAGCTTCAGATTTTCATCGCCGCCTCTTGGTCGCAAGCGCATGTTGATGCTTACGTGGACGCTGTGGTGTCCGCAACGCGCTGCGATGCTCACAGGCAAAGATCTCGTGCTTGCAGGCATACAGTGGTAACTCTAAGGGTCCAGCACACTGTTGTGCATATTGTGGCGATCGCAGGCCATGTGCATCTTCGCATGTTGTGGCGCTCGCGCGCCCTCGTAGCGCAGGCAGAGTATCTTAAACTGTTGCGCATGCTGTGGCGCTCTCAGGTTATTGTGGTTCGGGTGTCGGCTTTCCGTCTGCATCTAGCGGTCATTCGTACGCTGGCGTTCGCAGTCACATTGCTGTCGTGTGCGGAGGCCTTTCCGTGGTCCTCGCAGAACTTCAGTGGCGCTCGCAAGCATAATGTCGTGTGCGCAGGCGTTACGACCGAACCCTTGCAGGCTAAGGTGAACGAGAGCGTCGCGATGGTGCCAGGTTTTGCACAGCTTGAAGGGGCAGAGTGAGCGGGGAGGGCGTTACGTTACGGCCCTTCCCCCTACAGCCCGCTGCGGCCAGTCTGGCATCATTCCCACTCCCAGGGGTCGCCATTTATTCCACCAGCCTTCGGCACACAGTTGCAGGTACACGCGAGGCAAATCTGCGCCCAGGGTGCGCCGACTAGTCACAGGCCTCCCCCTCCCAGGAACGAGGGAAGGCCGACGGAGGTGGAGACGTGGGAGGCGGAGGACGGTTGGAGGCCATGAGAAGCGGCGACGGGTGGATCATGAGCATGGGTATGTCTGGATTTGCCTCCATTATTAGTTGTTCGCCCTCGTTTAGACTTCATGAGTCCCCTCGTGCTTTGTGCATCCAGGACTGCTGTTCTGATTGTTTGGGGACGCGGAGGGTGTGAACAGAACGATGGGGAGCAGATGACAGAGGCGGTGAAGGCTCAGTAAGAAGAGGACTCGAATGAGGACACCTTGCGAGGAGAGGGAGCAGGACAACGAGAGGGGGGACTGGCGGCACTGAGTCGGTTTCACCCCACCAGAGCTTCAGAGTAGCGTCCAGCGCCTTTTGCCCGCTCCTCCCCACCCCTCCCTATCCCTCCCACCTCAAACGCTTCTCCCGCACGTGTCCTCCCTCCTTCCTTTCCTCACGCCTGTCCTCTCGGGCGTTGCGTTGGGCAGTTCGCCTCGACATGCGGACACGGGCGTACGAATGCGCCAGTGTCCGCCTCCAGGTCAACGACAGTGGACGTGTGGCACTTAGCCGACTCCCCCACCCCTCCCCGCAGCTTCAGAGCAGCGCCCAGCCCCTTTTGCCCGCGCATCCCCGCTCTTTCCCGTCCCCCTCGCCTCACATACAGTCAGGACGCTGAAGCAAGGAACAGTTTGGGTTCGGAAAGGGGCTCGGTGTTCCTTGGGTTCCTCCAGTGCTGTTCCTCCTGCCCTCCTGGGGCACGGAGGCGCTCGCAGGGCCAAGGAGGGGCCCCGTTCCTTACTCAGCGTGCCTCCTGTCAGCGGCCCGACTGGACTCCTCCCTCTCCCCTCCCTCCTGGCGTTCCTCCTCGTGCCTGCCCCTCCCGGGCTTCTGCTTGTGGGGCAGCGCGCGCTGCCATCCCCTAGTGGGCCCCGGAAACGGCAGGGCCGCTTTTTCACCGCTTCCGAAAAAATGTCCCTTGATAATGGAAACGGCCAAAAAACGGCGACCGGAAACTGCAGAAAAAAACGGCTCCAGGATTTGAACCGGAGCCGGAACCGGTCAACAAACGGCGACGGAACCGGTAACAAAACGGCGTCGGAACCGGCAATAAATCGGCAAAACGGACCCGGTAGAAAACCGGCCCTGTCGTTTCCAGGGCCCATTAAGGCCATCCCCACCCTTCGAGGGCGGCCGCGCCCCGGGGGGGGGGTCCGCCTCCAGGACGGCGAGGGGAGCCTGCGCGTCGCCGGCTGCCCCATCGCTTCCGCTTGGCACGCAGTCGTTCCACCAAGAAGTGTCCCGCCAAGCCGTTCCACCAAGAAGTGTCGTTGGCACTTCGCACACAGAGGACCATACTGCTTAATGGCGGTTCGCGCCTCTGTGAGATTATACTATTACAGTGCCTCCTCCGTGATGTGTGTCCTCCGCTGCATCCCGCTGCTCGTCCTCCTCATCTTTACGCTGCTTGCGCTAGTCATGACTGTCGGAAAAGCTTGAGTCGGCAAGGGGCAAATGTCCTGTGCCCTCGATGCTGCGATCCCATGCTGGGGCGATTCGCGTTCCAGGAAGCGACATTGGAAGCGTCTCGCGAACGCACTCTTGGAACACAGTTGCTGCAGAAGTCGCAGCTCAACGCGCAGAACCTGAAGGCGCGCGAAGCGCACGCGCGAAAGTTCGTTTGCGTGTACATGCGTTGTATCTACACATTCTTATGTATATATATATACATGTATATATATATATACACACACACACGCCAAACCGTGTTTATGAGTACACGCGTATCCCAGGGGATGATGCCCGGGGCTCCGACCTGGTGGCCCCGAGCTTCCACTGCAGCACTGGGGCTCTGCGGGGGGGTCCGGGTGCTTCCTCGGATGGCCCGGGGCTCGAGGGAGCGACCGTGGAGATGCAGGGGCACGGATCCGCAGGAAGGTCCTCCACGCCACGCGCTGGTGGCCGACGGCCGAGGTCTGAAATCATGGAGCACTTGAGACTCTATCCCTGGGAGGGCCTCCTTGGGACGTCTCTCTTCTAAGGCTGTGCTCTTGTTCTCCCGGGCTTTCTTAGGACCTTCTGCGGTCCTCTCGGGCCGTCTTACTGCGCGCTCTGGAGCCATCTGGCGCCGTTCGAGTCCGTCCTGGCTCCCTCGTGGCCCCTTTGGGGCGTCCTCTTGGGCCCCATGCGGCCGTCTTGAAACTCTCACTCTTGGGGCAGTCTTGGGGCCATCTTGGGGTCCTCTGGGGGTCCGTTGGGGCCGTCTTGAGCTGGTACGAGTGGCCTCTTGGCCAGCGGTCTCGCATTCGGCCGCTTCCACTCGCCCATACAGTGGAAGCCAATGCCAAAAAGCGCACCGCCTGTAGGGTGCCCTGGGCTTTTTGGGCTTCGATGGTGTTGCTATGGGAAGCGTGATGTTCCACACCAAAAATCAGTGGACGTCGTGGGGTCTCAGGTCTGGGTTTCTTTTGTGGAAGGTTTCTTGTGGTCGAGCTCCTGCTGGTTCACATTTCGGCATCGCCCGTCGGCCAGTCCCGAAGACTGATGGGCCTGTTTTCCACCACCACCACCATAAGTTGGAGGGGGAGGTCCTCCTCCTCCTCCTCCTCCTCCTCCTTCTCCTTCTCCTCCTCCATCTCCTTCCCCCCTCCAACTTCTAGTGGTGGTGGTGGAAAAAAAAGCCCATCAAAGACGCCCCAGGGAGGCCTCCATCGGAGGCGTCGGTCGGTCCTAGGGCCTAGGGCGCTCTAAGACTGTCCAGGAGGGCCCCAGAAGACCCCAAGAGGCTTCCAAGCAGGCCCGAAGAGGCCACAAGATGCCCCCCAAAGGCTAGCACGACACTTCCAAGAGGCCCCCCAGAGGCCCCAAAGCGCCCCATCCAGGGCTTGGACACACTCAGCACCAAGGACGACCCGATAGAGCCCCATGACAGCCCACGGAGCCGCTTGGATAGGCACAGAGGTGGAGGTGGAGATGGGGGGAGTGGGGAAAGGAGGGAGCAGGACCACGAGGAGGACGCAGCTACGAAAACCCTCGAGGAGCTTCGAGTGATTGCACGTGTCAAGTGCTCCGCCTGTGGGCGTGTCAGCGCATCATTTTTTAGTTTCAAGACAGCGTGCTCAAGACCTCGTCCCCCTCCTGGCGTCACGTGCTCCGCCTGCTGGCGTGACAGCGCGTGATTTTTTCTCTTGTTTCAGACGGCATGCTCAAGATCTCTTTCCCCTCGTGACACTGACGTCCCCCGCATTACCGCACGTGCTCCGCCCGCCGGCGTGACAGCGCGTGCATTCGGCACGGAGGTGTTTTTTTTGTTCTGGGTCCGCACTGATTGCGTACATCTGGCGCCATATACCAGATGATTTCTCGCCGTTCTGGATAGGTCAAAAATAGCCATGTCATGTTAATTGCGTTGCCTGCCCATCTCTCCTGGGGCAGCAAGTAGTTTCGCTACGCCCTGCGCACACAACCTTGCAGTATTGACAAGACGACTGTGCACCAAGCGATGCGTCCCCGTCAGGCGAACCTCGGGAGGTCTTTGGTGCTGCTTCTCCCCTGTCTCTCTCTCTCTCTCTCTCGCCGGGGAATATAACTCGCCCCTTCTCTTCCTCCTGCTCCTCCTCCTCCTCCTCCACCTGGCCCTTCTCCTACTCTTCCCTCTCGTTGTTGCGCGGCGGGTGCCGCGGGGGAATGCTTCTTCCCGCTGTTGGTGGGGCCCCAGTCCGTGTCAATACGGGCGTCGAGAGCATAGGCAGTTTCCTCCGTGGGGGGGCGGTTCCACAGACCTCTTAGAGGTTAACTCGTAAAAATCCATTTCTCGGACCTGAGCTTGGCGTCGCTCGGACGTGTGCATTTTTTCTCGGCGACGGCCATCGAGGACCATCCTTGATCATTTGGCGAAACAAAACAAACACACGCACGAAATCGAATCATACACGAGGAATGGACGTCCGAGCGATGGCGAGTGAGGTCTTCGGTTGGTACGCCGTACGCGTGTGTGGCGTGTCGAACGGCGACTGGCGGCTTCCTTTGGAGTCGTCCCGTGCTTCGTGACAGAAGGTCTGCGGTTCGAGCCTTCTGGGGAGGGGAGGGCCAGGAGGAGGCGCAGGACGACGAGGAGCAGGAGGAACAGGAGGAGGAGGAGGGGGAGGAGGAGGGCACGGAAGGAAAGGAGGGGAAGACGGGCGTCTTCTTGGCGTCACCATCTCGATGTTGCCCCCCTCCCCACCCCTCCCCGTCCCCCCCCCACCCGCCCCCCCCCATCCTCCCCCCCAGCCCCCCCCCCCCCTCCGCGATCCGCGGGGCTCCAGCGTAACGTCCAGGGCCCGTCGCCCACTCTCCCCCCACACTTCTGCCACGCCCGACCGCCCTGTTCCTGCCGCGCCTCTCCAGCATCCTCCCGTGCCTCCTGCCCGCGCAGCTCGCCTGCTCGATGTCAGCACAGCGCAGTCGGTGGTCAGTGTGCCTGTCTCTGCGAGTGCGGCGTAAGCCCCTCTGCCATGTGTTCAGTTCGTCCGCCTGTACTCCGCACCCTCCGGCCGCCTGAGGCCCCGCCCGCCCGCGCCCTGTCTCCCCAATTAGTGCTTCGCGCGCCCCGCCTAGCTCTTAACCGGAAGAGGCCCGCTCTCGACCCGCCGACCAAAAAGTGTTCAGTTCGTCCATCTGTGCACCAGCCAGTCTGCTGTGACTGTGCCTTGCTCTGTGCGCCGGCGACCTGGCCCCTGGCCGTCCCCGGCCCCGGGGCGGATCCCTCTCGCGAGCCCCGCCATCGCAACCCAGCTGCCCCCGCCCCAGGCTCTGGGACCGGCCTTGGGGCCCTCGGATGTCTCGCTCGGCCTGAAGAGGCGTCCGAGCTGGTTCGGGAGGACGCCCGCTGGTCGCCCAGACGGCCCCGGGTGGACCCAGACGTCCCCGGACGATTCCAAGGCGGCCCCCAGCGACCACAAAATGCCCCGGTGGAGCGCCCAAGAGGACCTCCCCCCGAAGGCATCGGCCCAGAGAGCAACCATCGCAGGAACAGCTTCGGTGCTTCCCTCGTGCGCAGGCCGTGCGACTGCGCTCGCTCCGACGGCCACTTACCGTGACTCCTCCCTTGTGGGGGAGGAGGAGCAGAGCGAGGGGGCCTCCCTCCGACTCGATGGCGGCGTTCCTCGAGGTCTGAAGGAGGGGTGCGGGCTCTCGGGGGGCCACGGCCCCCGAGACACCCGTCTCGAGGGCCCCGGACACACCTCCCAGGATTGCAGTTCAAGCAGTGGCGAGGCGTCCTGGCTCGCCTATAGCCCTACCAAGCAATGTTATAAGAACTGCTTGTGGTCTCCACGAAGTGTTCTTAGAACGTTTCTGGCGGATATTTTTTTGTTTCAACACATGGGGCTTATGTTCTAAGAGGATTGTTTTTGTTCTTAGAACATCTTTGGGATCTAAGAACATTTCGTGGTAGGACTATAGGAATGCCGGGACGGTCGGTCCCTGCTCAAACAGTAGGTTCGCGTCGTGTCGACCGGCGGCGACCCCATTGCCGGCGTTCAAAGTTGAACGCCGCCGGCGACCCAGAATCGGTCGATGCTGAACGATCTTACGGTTGGGAAATTGCCAATCGTTCAAGGTTGAACGAGTCCCGCTGTGTCAGGAACCATAACGCCCAAGTCGGCACGACACGAACCTGCCGTACCCCCTCCCCCGGTGGATGAGGGATCACGTTCGTCGATTTCCAGGAGAGGTGTGCTCCCCCCCGGGGGCGACGACTGAAACGGGAAAGCGTCTCGTCACGCGCCGACAGGGTCGGCGGATTTGGCTAATCTCATGCCCTTCTCTTCAGGATGGCTTCGGAATCGCTTCAAATGGCCCCTAAGCCCGAGACGGCACCACAGCGCCCAAGGAAGACCCCCACACGGCCCCTATCGGGCCCCAAAGGTTCCAAGGCAGCCCCAACAGGAGGATCCCCGCCAGACCCCTACACTCCAAGCAGGCCCATTGCATATCCAGTGCCCCTCAACGCCAGCCCTGAACAGCTCGAGCGTCCCGCAGAGCCCCCAACAGGAGGAGGCCGTCGATCAGAGCGAGAAGCAGAAAGCGAGGGCAAGCGAGAGCGAGTGGAGGCTTCGTGAGGAAGGATGCCTAAGCAAGGTTGGAGGGCGCGGCAAGGGAAGGCACTGAATTAGCCAGTCCAAGGAAAGCACGCGCAGCTAAGAGAGGCCCTGGTCTGCCCCCAGAACCCAGGCGGGCGCGAAGCGCGCGCGCGCGCGTGTGGTTTCAGCAAGACGTGTCTCAAGATATCCACAGATGACCCTCCGGAGGCATCTGGACTGCGGAGATCTCCGCGGAGGTCCCTGACCTCGACCTTCCAACCTCGATCTTGCGGTGTGGGCAGGACCTCGTGCCGGAGGTGGCCCGCCGCATCGGCGGTCAGCACCTCTTCATCTCGGAGCGCACGCCGATGCTCTTCGCGGGCGATCAGGGCACCGCGTCCCACGTTCTTGGGGACGGGGGAGCGTTTTCATTCTGGGCAGGTTGATTCTTTGTGGTCCCGACGTTTTTCTCCATTCCGACCTCCAGAACCCCCTCTCTCTGGGGCCCGCGGATTGCAACAAGAAAGATCCTTCGCTTGCAGTGGAGTAAAGGCTGGGAAGCCGTCATATCCCAAGGGGGGCATGCTATGAGGAACCAGAGGAAGATAGGAGGAGCGGGGAGGCGGAGGAGGAGGAGGAGGAGGAGGAGGAGGAGGAGGAGAAGGAAAACGGAGGAGGGAGGAGGAGGATTAGGCGGAGGAGAAGGAGTAGGAGGAGGAGGACGACGACGAGGAGGGCGAATAGGAAGGCCAGAAGCCTCTGGGATGCTTCTCGGAGTCTCCTCCTCCTCCTCCTCCTCCTCCTCCTCCTCCTCCTCCTCCTCCTCCTCCTCCCCTCGGAAGCTTGTAGGCCTGTGGTGGCGTCTTGGGGGCCTCTTGGCGGCCCTGGGGGCCTCTTTAAGCGTCTCCGGTGCCTCGCGGGGCCTGTTGGGGGTCTGCTGGGAGACTCTTTGGGGAATCTTGGAAACAAAAATTCTAAAACATAGAAAGTAAAACAAACACACACACACACAGATGTATATATATATATATATATATACACATGTATATAAAACAAACAAAAACTCTTGGGGGAGTCTTGGGGGCATTTCGGGGGCCTCTTGTAGCTTCTTGGGCGTCTTCTGTGGCCCACTCGGAGCCTTTCGGGACCATGGACCATCTTGGGGCAGTGCTGGAGGTGATCGATCAGAAAAGGGGGAGTCCAACTAGCGCCCCGCCCAACGGCCGAAATTTGGCCAAAACCTGAGCACACTTAATGAATTTGGCTTTCTCGCCGAGGCCACATTGGACGCTCTTATCGGCCGCGACCCCTCAGAGCCAGGGGGTAGGGCGAGGGTAAACCATTCCCCGACGGGAGAGAACGAGGTCGTAAGAGGACACGCTCTAAGCCGTTCGCGCCCTGAAACGCTGGTTGCATGGGCCCGTGGTCAGCACTACATCGCGAGTGCGATGTAGTGCAGACGGCATCGCTTGATCGTGACGTGAGTTTCCAATCGCCCCCCTCGCCCTTGCGCCATCTTGGTATCCCAAATCATCGGCACGCCGCCGCGTTCACGGAGACCTTGCCGCCACGAAATGGAGAGAGAGAGAGAGAGGGAGAGAGACACATAATAGAAAGAAAGACAGAACAAACAGCACGGCAGGAATCAAGACGCAGCTTCCTGCACAGGCGACTCTTTTCTGCATGCTCGCCACAATGACAAGGCGCAAGCTAAAGGCTCCATGCGGAGCTTCTTCATCCGCCTCCTCCTCGTCCTCCTCCTCCTCCTCCTCCTCCCCCTCCCCCTCCTCCTCCTCCTCCTCCCCCTCCTCCTCCTCCTCCTCCTCCTCCTCCTCCTCCTCCTCCTCCTCCTCCTCCTCCTCTCGTCCACCCTGTTGGCAGAGAGCGCTGTGGTGGTCGTCGGGGCGCCGCGCCTGCCTCCGAGAGTCTGCTGGCCGTTCCCTCGCTCCTCGTCGCGGTGGGCCGCCAGGGGCGCCCGCCGACGCGATTTCGGGTCGCCAGGGGCGCTCGCCGACGCGATTTAGGGTCGCCAGGGGCGCTCGCCGACGCTATTTAGGGTCGCCAAGGGCGCTCGCCACTCAGCTCTCAAGTCTGACTCCCTTGTTAGGGGTCCACATGCGAACCCTCCCCTACCCCCCCACGACTTCTGAGGGGGAGGGTGGGGTTCACTTCGCTCGGGAGCTCCCGGACGAAGTGAACCCCACCCTCCCCCTCAGAAATCGTAGGGGGGTAGGGGTAGGTTTCGCATGTGGCCCCCTACTTGTGATATGCACGAAAAGGTGCCGCTTCGGTTTGCACCGGAAGATTGCGGGAACCTGCCGCGCAAGCGCGTTGCAGAACAGCCCGAGGCGTTTGCATCGCCTCGTCATCTCGTCCCTGCTGAAATTGGCATTATGTTATAGCGCTCCGTAACAACAGCGGGGGATGGTTTTCTCCTTCCCCAGCTTGCTGCCACAGCCCTACAGCTTGTCGCAACAGCTTGTCGCATTCTTCCCACTCATCTTCCAGAGCCGCGCGCGCCAGCCATGGCCCTCAGTCTCGGGGTTCGCATGCGACCATTGTTTTTGCATGAGGAGTGCCGCACCAGCTTCAGCGCTAAGCTGCCTCGACACGCCCGTGTTGAAACGCAACACGTGCCGCGCTTAAAACGTCAGTGACAACACGTCGCGCGTTGACTCAGCGTGTTGGCCCACGTTTTTGGCGAACGTATCGCGCCATACCTACGTTTCAATGTACGCGTGGAGCTCCGTACAACTGCGCTACGTGTTGCGCTTTACGCATCGGGCCAGCTGAACTTCAGCGTCATCCGACGCACGGCGCCCCCTCGGCAAGTTCGTTATTGTCCATCAAGTCGGCTGCTTCGCGGCCGACGGCGCGCGCGGCGTCCGCGAAGCAGTCTTTGGCACGCGCCCCCGCCGGCTGACACCAGGCGTTTGGGCTCGAACCGTTGGCGCAGCACAAATGTGCCCGACCCGAGTTTTCGCGATACATTTCCACGTCAGGGCTCGAGCTAAACGGTGTTCTGGCAATATATGATGACCGTTCTCATTTTGTTTTCCTGTCGCCCCAAAGGCAGATAGAGAACAGAACGACGGACCGCGAACCGAAGCAAAAACGACAATCACTTTTTAGCCTCGAGCCTTGCTCCAGGTGGTATTTGCCATATCTGGCGGGCTTTTGACAAGACGGATCGCAGGCGACATCGGCCTCGCCCTGTCGGCGGTGCTGGCCTCGGCCTTGCCCTGCGCAAGTGCTTCCCCCATTGCCCTTTGGCACAACGGGCGCGGGCCCCTCGATCTCGCAGCAGCCCCCCGTGTCCTCGTCGTCCCCAACGCCCGCCTTTCCTCCTCGTGTCGCTCCGCCCTGGCGGCGGTTCCTGCTTTCGGCCCAGATGCCCGCCGGGCAACGATGCCCCCCTTGTCAAAGAGCAAGATATTCGGCATGCCTGTCTCCGCGGAGCGTCCGTCGCCGACGTTCGCCTTGCAGAAGTCGCCCTCGGTGCGCACGTCGTGGGGCGTGCCTTCCCGCTTCGTCTTAGACGGCGAAGTCGAAAGTCTCGCGATCCAGGTGCCCGTGGGATTGTTTGCCCCCCACATGTCGAAATCATTACGTTCCATTTCCCTGCTGCCCACATGAGCGTATGCCGTTTATTTGCTCCGAAATGCGCACATGTCCATACATACGTTTACACACGCATATACACATGTATGCAGCTGTATACGGCGCATGCATGTGCGTGTGCGTGTATGTTATCGCACAAGCAAAGGCATACCCATGCGCACATACATAGATACATGCATGCATGCATACAAATGTATTGGCAGAGCTAAGCTGGTTTCATAGTACAAGCTGGCAGCACGGAGCTCTTTCCAGCGCCGATCAAGGGTCCACCCAACAACTTGCTGGAGCCGGCAGCTTGTCGCAGAAACAGTCGTCGTATTCGTCCCCGCTGCGCGTGCCGGAAGCCCTTTTTCCCGCAGTTCCTTCGAAACTCTTTGGCAGTTTTTGCGGAACTGTTTGCTCGAGTTTGCGAGCCAATCAGACATCCTGCCAAGCGATCTTGCATGTGTCTTTCATAGGCGTTTCACGCGTTTCGGACTGCCCCGCTATTCGGGTGTGGGACGCCACAAGTATGCATCCATGTATTGTTAAATATGCAGGCGCACATATACATATACATACACATATACATAGACATATATACATATACCAAATCACAAACATATGCATTTACATAAACACATACATGCATATATTGACACACGCATACAAACATACTTACGTACATCGGATGTTGGGGGGTGAGTCCGACGTGAAACGGAGACCCCCCCTACCGGGAAATCGATTTCGGGTTCGGGTTCGTGTCGTGCGTGCCGTGCGTGCGGGCGGGCGAGGCGAAGCTGCGTGGGCGGGCGAGAGGAAATCCTCCTGTGGCTGGGCCGCGGCCGGACCAAATGTAACTCCTCCGGCGGCCGGTGCCCCGCGGTGTCCCGCCAGTGTCCCGCCGGTGTCCCGAAATCCTCCTTTGGCTGGGCCGCGGCCGGACCAAATGTAACTCCTCCTGCGGCAGGTGCCAGGCGGTGTTCCGACGGTGTCCCGTTGTGTCCCGTGGTTTCCCGTGGTGTCCCGTGGTGTCCGCCGTTGCTAGGGCGAAGTCAAGACAAATGATTATCTTCCGTCCGGCGGTGGCTCGCGGTATGCCGTTGTGTCCCGTGGTGTCCCGTGGTGTCCGCCGTTGCTAAGGCGAAGTCAAGACACATGATTATCCTCCTTCCGCCCGTCCAGCGGTGGCTCGCGATGTCCCGCGGTGTCCCGTGGTGGCCCGTTGTGGCCCGTGGTGTCCAGTGGCGTCCCGTTGAGTGAGATCGATAGTGAGATCAATAGTGAGATTGATACTGAGATCGATACTGAGATCGATACTGAGATCGATGTGGTGCCCCGAGGTGCCCCGTGGTGTCCCGTGATGTCCCGTGATGTCCCAAAAAGTGATATCGATAGTGAGATGATAGTGAGATCGACAGGTGTCTGTGGTGTCCCGTGGTTTCCCGTTGAGTGAGATCGATAGTGAGATGGATGTGGTGTCCCGAGGTGTCCCGTGGTGTCCCGTGGTGTCGAGTGGTGTCCAGTTGGTGTCCCGCTGAGTACGATCGATAGTGAGATCGATAGTGAGACCGATAGTGAGATCGACAGGTGTTCCGCGGTGTCCCGTGGTGTCCCGTGGTGGCCCGTGGTGTCCCGTGGTGTCCCGTTGAGATGGACAAGTGTCCCGTGGTGTCCCGTGGTGGCCCGTGGTGTCCCGTTGAGTGAGACTGATAGTGAGATCGAGAAGTGTCCCGTGGTGTCCCGTGGTGTCCAGTGGTGTCCCGTTGAGTGGGGTCGATAGTGAGACCGATTGAGTCAGATGTTGATTCCTCCCCCCTCTCCCCCCCCACACAATCCCACAACCTCCTTATCACCCGAAGGGTGGTCGTATAGGTACCTGTATACACTCGGATTTCTGTTTGTATACACATATATATATACATATATATATATACACAGATGGAACAGTATATGCAAGCAGTGCGCGCGATGCACGCGAAATCAGGTGCGCGCAAGCGGTCCTTTGCCTGCATCTCGCCCCGCAGCCTCCACTGCGGCACCGATGACGCCATCAGATCCGCACCGCAGGGGATGGGGCCAACATCCACGCTGCGAGGCTTCTGTTTCGCTGGCGCCGTGGCCACCTCGGGCGCCGCGCCGCGCTCGCCATGCGGCGACCGCCGGGCGCGCAGGCCTGCAGGTCGCAGCGGGCCTTGCCGACGAGGGCGAGGCGCGGCAGCGGCGCGGGCATCTGGCGACGACGGGGGCGGCAGAGGGAGATGGAGCTGCGCGCGGCATCTTCTTCAGGGGGATTTGTGCGCGGGGGGGATTCCTGTCGCCAGTCGGCAAGTGTCGCTCCCCGCCGCTCGCGTGGTTCACGGCGTACGAAGTCGTTTTGGCCGTGCGTTTGCGCCCAGTCCTTCCCGAACGCCGTTCTGGCCAGGACTGCCCTGGTCAGCGGCACGTGGCCCACCGTGCGGGCGGGCAGCGCTGAGCAGAGCTCCCATGAGACCCACTGTGCTTTTGTTTTTCTCTGGGTCGCCCTACTCTGGTTGCATCGCCTCGATTTCCGTGGCGTGCTCGATCACCATGGCATGCATGCCATCGTTTGTGAGCTTGCACTTTGCGCGGGACATCTCGGCGTTCCGCACGGCTATCGCTCCAGCTGGCCTGATTCCTCCCTCGCCCGCCTTCTGCTCGTCCTGTGTCATTCGTTGCTTTGTGTTCCGCGCGCACTCAGCCCTCTACACAAGAGGCCATCACCCCAGCGCAGAAGGCCATGATTCTTGCGCACAAGTTGGGAGGGCCGCGGGAGCGACCGCGACGAGGGACAAGCGACGATATAAGAACGATTATGCGGACATCGACAGGATGCGCGCCTCCGCGCGTGAACCGCCTCGGCGCTGATCGCAAGCGCTGACTAGAGCGTGCGGTGCAGCGCTCCGTGTCTGAGGGGAACGAAGCATGACATAAAGATAACAACTCGGAGGTCCGCGCGGATTTCCTGGGTCCGCGCTGGACCCCCTCCCAGGCGCGCCGGAGGCGCCGCCAGGGGGTCCCAGCGCCGATCAGAGAAATCCGCGCGGGCCTCCGAGTTTTTATGCTTAAGCCATTGTTTGTTTCCCATTCCCAGATGTAGCATGGCGAGGCCACTGGATAAGGAACCATTGGATAAGGAATCCAGGGCCCGCGAGCAGGTGGAACGCCAACCATGAATTGGCCATGAATATCACCGCCGCACTCGTCAGACAATGAATCCTCCAGGGTCTGAAGCCTCCGGGGCACATTTCGGGTATAGCCACGAGCCAGGTAAGGGGACCTGCTTAGTGGTAGGGCCCTGGAGCCATAGAATTGGCCCGAATCACCACACCAGGTCTGCCGTAGCTGGTCTTTTATCGGGTGACGGCAGTTCCGGTTAGTGGAGCGGGGCGGGGGGGGCGTCCCCCAGTACACATCACTAAACCAGGTTCCGCTAAACCCAGTTCTGCCAACGCCCGAACATTCCTTAGCCAACGCCCCCGCCGTAGTCAGCACTGATCGCGCATCCGCAGGGCTCGGAGTGACATCTGGCAGGGGCCTCTGGAGGCCGGGCGAGGGCCACGAGCGCGCAGAGGACCTCGCCACCTCGACCCTCGGGGGTCGAGGGCAGCGCCCTCCTCCCCCTCCTCCTCCTCCTCCTCCTCCTCCTCTCCTCCTCCTTCTCCTCCTCCTCCTCCTCCTCCTCCTCCTCCTCCCCTCCTCCCTCCTTCTCCTCCTCCTTCTCCTCCTCCTCCTCCTCCTCCTCCTCCTCCTCCTCCTCCCCCTCTTCCTCCCCCTCCTCCTCCTCCTCCTCCTCCTTCTCCTCCTCCTCCCCTCCTGGCAGCCCTGGAGCCTGCAGCGCAAGGATCCCACAAGAATCGGATCATGAGCCCGCGCGCATCGCCTCCCCGATCCACTCATGCTCCTCAGCATCCTGCTCCTCCCATCCTTCCCCTCCTTCTCCTCCTCCTCCTCCTCCTCCTCCTCCTCCTCCTCTTCCGTAGCCATTTTGGCTCAAGGCATTTTGCCCTCGAGCTGCCTTGTTTCCTGCTCCCGAGGCCAGGTCATCGGCCGCCCGCAGGACAGCTCCGTTTAGGCATCTTCTGAGTCAGTGCAGCCGCTCCGCTGCGATGGCTTCTGATGATGAGATGATGTGCCCAACGCCAGTGGCCGAGGAAGCTGGTTCGGTCCCGAAGCGTGTGCGTACTGGCGGTGCTGATTGGCTACGCGAGATGCTGGGTGACATTCGCTCGAACATGGCCACAAAGGACGACGTCACAGAGGTGAAGAGAACCATTCATGAGCACGAGGTCAAGATTGACGGTTTGACTGCGCGAATGAAGGCGATCGAGGACAGATCTAATACCAGAATGGAGGCAGCACAATCCGCTGCCACCGCCGTCATGACTGAAGCTGTTGACAATCAGCTGAAGGACATGAAGGCACACAATCTCAAGATGCAGGCCGAGCTTGCTGCTCTGTCTTCGCGTACGCCATCGACCAGGTCGAATGCATCGGCCGCATCACAAGAGCCCGAGAAGGAGAGGGACAACCGCAAGATCTGGATCGCAGGCTTCCCGAGGCCGCTGCTAGCCAAGGTCATGAGTGCCCATGCGACACAGCTCATCCAACAGCACGTCCCCAACGGCATCACGGCAATGCCCAAGTCTCACAACTTCCAGACGGCCTACAGCATCATCTTCGATTCGAACGAGGCGGCCAAGGATTTCTTGATGCGCGCTCGGACCCTGGGTGTGAAATGGCGCGACCCTCGCACCAACACTGACTGTGACTTGAAGATCCGCATGGACGCGCCGCCAGCCATCCGCAAAGTCAACCGCATCCTCGGCGTCCTCTGGTCCAAGGTGGTGGAGACAGCCAAGGCCAATAACAAGTGGAGTCCTTCTTTTACGCTAGGCTCGCAAGGATTTCGTGGCACGCTATGGCTGATCTCGAATGATGACACGGAGAACCTCTTCCAGGTGAAAGGCGTAGAGTCGATGCAGTTGGACGTCATTCCTAACGTCGTGGCATTGAAGAAGCTCGGCTTCACTGATGCCACCATCAACAGCACGGTTGAGAGCATCCTGATCCAGGAGATCGCTCTGCCAAGCCAGCAGCGCATGAAGGCCAACTTGCATGATATGCCCCTGGGGATCCTCGCCTCTCCTGTGGATAGTGATATGACTGGTTTGGGTGCCCCGTTCTGCGTGGGCGCTTGCGGCGTGCGTTCCACACCTGAGCAAGCGGCAGACAGCGACGACCAGCAGCACGCCACACCGCCGCCTACGAAGAGAATTCGGTCTTCATGCAGAATTGCCACTTCAGCGAGAAGAGCAAGAGCCTCTTCCTCGTCGTCCAGCGCGTCTGGGTCTTCCAGTCCTGGTGGGTCGTCTGCACGTTCGGCACCTTCGGCAAGTTCAACGTCCTCATCCTCCAGCTCTTCTTCGTCGTTTACGGTTGACTGGCCTGCGTTGCCGATGCGATGCAGCCCTTTCTTGCCGTGCAAGCGTTTTTCAGTCGTGTCTTGGAATGCTCGCTCGCTCTTCGGCGCACTGCACGCCCCGCAGCACACCCGCCGCGCAAAGATCAGGCAGCTTATCAATATGATTCAGAATCCTGATGTTGTATGTGTTCAAGAGTCTCGCGGGACGTACGAGTGTTTCCGTGCCCTGGAGCGCGAGGTATATCAGCTCTCTGGCTTCTCGACCTTTCTCTGCAACCCTCATTCTGGTGGTAGTCTTATTTATGTTCATCCTCGGGTACGCAGCACGTTTACACATGCGTCACATCGTGTCATTGCACAAGGGCGTATGCACACAGTTGTTCTTCATAATGACCAGCATGCTCTCCAGATAGTCAATGTGCATAGTGATCCTGGTCTCCGTGTGCGAGAGCGCAAGCGTCAGCTAGTGCAGATTCGTGATGCCCTTCGGCCTCGAGCGCAGTGCTCTGTCTTTCTTTGTGGCGACTTTAACTTCCCTGCGCAGGGCGAGGGCAGCTTCCAAGTGTCGGGGAGGCTCGTTCACCCCACCCACAGCCTCGCCAAGCTTTTTGATCGGCTCTTTGCGCACATGGTCGAGGTCGAACAGCCGCAGTTCACGCGTCGTGTCGAAGGGTACGTCGGGGTGCGCAAAGTGGTCCTCTCGCTCGGGCGCCTCGACAGGATCTACACTTCGATCCCTGCTAGCATGATCCTGGACCTATCCCCGAGCTCGGGAACGATCGGCTGTGCAGCAGATCTCGCCACACTCTCTGATCACGTGCCTGTTTTCCTGGCCCTGGCGCCCCCCAGCCTCAGCGGGACCTCGAAAGTGCAGCCCTGGGTCTCCAAGCACAAACTGTTCCCCGATGTGTTCAAGGAGGTTTTGCAAGGAGGAGGTGATCTTGATGATGATCCAATTCAGCGGGTGGAGGAGGTACGCAACGCAATACAGGTAGCAGCTAAACAATTACTAGCCAAGCTTGAGCAGAAGGGCGCCAGCTCGTTGCCTGAGTACATCTCCTGGTCTCTAGCTGCTATGAGAGCCGAGAGATCCAAGGCCCCAGGTGTGCTGCGCAGGGCTGTGAAGGCCTACCCGATGCTCCAGCGGTTTTTCAATGTCGAGCTCTGCGCATACTCGAATCTTGTTGGCTTCCACGCGTTCTAAGCGAACCTAAAGCGCCAGCAGATAGACGATCATATTGAAGAAATTCAGAACGACATGAACATCCCCTCGGCCCAAAAGAAATCCACTATGAACAAGCTTTACTCCTTCAGATCGGCGTGGAAGGGACGCGGTGCCCAGATCTCGTTGCAAGCTATAGCCGACCCGCTCGGGGCCCCCATCTTCGACCCAGTTGCGGGCGCTCGTGAGCTCGCTCAGCATTGGGGAGCTGTGCACTCTGCTGTTGCCATTCAGCCTGCTGCGCTTAATGATTTGCTCGTACACGTGCAGAGAGTTCCTCAAGTAGTTACCTGGAGGTTGGAGGAGGCGGAGTTTTTTTACATGATGAAGAGGCCGCGCGACAGCGCCCCGGGGCCGGATGGGATACCACACTCAGGCTGGAGTCGAGCGGGGGAGGAAGGAGGACGGGCCTTATATAATCTGTACGAGCACATCCTTGATGTTGGCGAGTGCCACCCCGAGTTTAATTACGGCCACAACATCTTCCTGGCCAAATGCGATGATGAACATGATTCTTCGCTCTGTATGCGCGCGCCTGCGGTTACGAGGCCGCTGACTATGTCGTGCACCTCGAATAAGCTTGTCTCGCTTGCCCTGAACAGGCCGCTGGCTGCCATCTGCAGATGCTCGTGCATTAAGGAACAGAGAGGCTTCGTGGGAGGGAGGAATATGAACGAGAACATACTCGAGCTCGAATATCGTGCGATGCACTGGTATGTCCAGCGTCTAGTCTCGGCGCGCGGCATCGCGCTGCATGATGCGCGCGCGGCCTTCCCGAGTCTGCTTCACGAAGCTATGTTTGCCACTCTGCGTGCCATGGGAGTGCCAGGTTATTTCGTTCGTGCCGTTCAATGCCTCTACACCAATGTATGGATTGCTATATCGCATCGGGGTATGCACCAGGATGTAGGCCACTGGCTCTCCCGCGGCATCAAGCAGGGATGTCCTGTTAGTGGTTCGCTGTTCGCGCTCGCCGTCGACCCCGCGCTGCGGATGATTTGCCTCCTGCTTCCACGTCCGCTTCGCAGTCTGGGGGCCTTCGCTGATGATGTGGGGATTAGCTCGGGGGACATTGTCGAGGCGTTCGTTTCCAGCATGTCGGTGTGGGACCTCGCTGGGCCTGGTATGGGCCTGTGCATCAACGTTGAGAAAACGGTGATCGTCCTTCTGGGGATCTCGGAGGCAGGTTTTCTTGCGGCACTTGGGGCGCGCGGGTTTCAGGCCGCTGCGCTGGGCCTTCAACTGCCCCCTCGAGGGCGCTATCTTGGCATACGGCTGGGCCCCGATAGTGCGTTCGACTCCTGGGGGCCCGCCCTTAAGAAGTACGTCCAGAGGGCCCAGATGTTTCGCGGCCTCGAGTTGGGCTTCACGAGAACTGTTGCGCATTATAACATGCTCGCGTTTTCTGTGCTCACGTTCATCGGCCAGTTTTTGGAGCCCACGGACCGCTGCCTGAGTCTGGAACGTGCTTGCCTGCAGAAGCTCACTGTCGGGCCGAATAATGCGATCACAGCCTCGATGATGCAGGGCTTGACACAGCTGGGCTCTCCCCTGGACGCCAGATCGTTGGAGCGCACCTGCCGTGCCGCCAGATACCGTGCCGCCTACTACTCCCCTGCCTTTCACGAAATCCGAAGGATGCTTGCAGAATTCTCAGAAGATGATGAGTATGTAATAAATTGGCGTCTGCACCCTTGGTGGAAAAGCAGCATCTTGCGGTCGATGATTGAGAATTTCGAATTCTTGACCAGTATCCCGAGCGCGCCGAGGGATGAGGTGCCGCTTCAGAAAAAGACGGAGCTCTTCTTGCGTGAACTCTACCCTCGTTCTGTGAAGCCCCAGTTGCTGAGCCGCCTGCACAAAACTGACCCCCTTCTGTGCTATAGTGATCTGGATCTTGTTTTCCTGGCCTTCAGGAGGGCCGCCCCTCTCGTTCCGCCCTCGGTCCTCGCCTCGCTTCTGAAAACTGTGTGTAATGCCTGGTGCACTTCTGGGCGTTTTCGGAATGCCACCCAGGATTGCTCGTTTTGCGGCCTACGTGCCGCTGACACCCTCAAACATGTGCTTGAATGCCCGAGGCTCGACATCATTTGGATTTTCCTGCCAGAGCTCCCTTCTGCGTTCTGCCTTGCCCCTGGTGCCACCAGAATTCAGATTTATAGATTTTTTCCTCTTGACAATCGTGCTCTGTTGTCTATCTTGTTGTATATTGATGCCTGCTTCCATTGTTATCATACCTGTCGCCATCGTCCCGCGTCGCCCGTCGCCGTGGCAGGGGCCCGTTTTCAGCAGGTCTGCAGGCAGAGGGTAGACCTGTCCGCGCTGCTTGGCGCGGCCCCGCAGGCGCCCCCGCGCGCGGCTGCCCGCGTGGGGGGGTAGGGCTGGTGGCTGCGACGACGTCTTGCCCTCTTCTCGCTTCTTGTCCGCTTGCCCTCTTCTCGTCCCTCTCTTTTGGCCAGCGCACTCCTCCTCCTCCTCCCCCTCCTCCTCCTCCTCCATCTCCTCCCCCTCCTCCTCCTCCTCCTCCTCCTCCTCCTCCTCCTCCTCTTCCTCCTCCTCCTCCTCCTCGTCCTCTTCCTCCTCCACTCATTCTCCTCAGCATCCTGTTCCTCCCATCCTGCGCCACCTTCTGCTCTGCCCGACGACACACATACTTCAAAAGCACGGACCTCGAGAACTCAGACTCCCAGTCTGATCGAGTGGCTCAGGGGGGTGCTCTGTGACAAGGCATCGGCGATCATCGCGAGTAGATCGGCGATAGGGTACGCCACCGGAGAAGCCACACGATCGGGCATGCGATGCACGCGATGCTAGGACTGTAAGACAATCCACAGCCATGACATCCACAGGCCTACCCTGCAATTCCACGCCGCATGTGCCAGGGCAACATTTCCATGCCCTTTGCGCATGCACGTCAGCAGCAGCCGGTCTGGATCAGAAGGGTCCCGCAAGGGGCGAGACATGAGCCCGAAACCTGGCGAATACACCGACCGGTCACGGAACATGCGATTAGGTTTCTGAGGTTTCCGAGGTCACCGCCCAGTCTGTCTCAGCATCGTTTTGGGAGCCCTAAAGCTCACGGTGGTTATGGATGGCGGGGGGGGGGCAGGAGGAATGGCGTGGGGTGACGACGGAGGAGGGAAAACGGAGGGGGCTATCTTTCCAGCTACAATTTAAAACCCGAATAAGGACGCGCGGCTTTGCTCAGGGCACCCTTGCGTCCTTGCTCTTCCTTGCTCGTGCGTCCTTGAGGTTTTCGTCGTCCGCCGCCCCAGAAATACAAACTTCGGTTTCCAAGGGTCTTGCGTCCTTACCGCGCGTCCATATTAAGTTTTTTGACTGTAAGTCAACAGCACCGGGTGCCATAGCTCGCCCGAGCAGTGTTCCTGCCTGCGCGGCGGTCCTGCAAGTGCCCTGGGTGGGCACCTGTGGGCGCAGTAGCAGGCAGAGTCTTGTTACAGACTGGTAGCGTTTGTATCATGAATTGGCCCCGGGCGTTTCACGAGTGAGCGATCTGACTTTGTGTCCCCGAAGCTCGATTCGACTTCTCGGGCCCCTCCATCCGCAGGTTCACATCGACAACAAGCCCCTGATCCAGTTCTGCCACGTCCTGCATGGCACCAAGCTCTTCTGCGTTGCGCCTTCCGCGCCATGGGTATCGCAGGACCCGCGCCCCTCCTCCTCCTCCTCCTCCTCCTCCTCCTTCTCCTCCTCCTGCTCCTTCTCCTACTCCTACTCCTCCTCCTCCTTTTCCTCCTCCTCCTCCTTTTTCTCCTTTTCCTCCTCCTCCTCATCCTCATCTTCCTTCTCCTCCTCGTCCACTCTCCCTTATGGTAATCGTCGCTCTTGACGTCCATCTCCTCGTTGAAGAGTGGGAGGGGAGCAGGAGGGAGGAGGCGGGAAGGAGGATCGAGGAAAAGCATGCGTAATCTCTCGGAGGTCCGCGTGGAGTTCTTGAATCGGCGCTGGAGTTATCTCGCAGCGTCCCTCCTTCTGTCTCCTGGGGTGGAGGACTTGGAGGGGGAATGAGGGAGAGAGGAGCAGGCGGAGTAGGAGGAGGCGCTGGAGTGATCTCGCAGCGTCCCTCCTTCTGTCTCCTGGGGTGGGGGACTTGGAGGGGGAATGAGGGAGAGAGGAGCAGGCGGAGTAGGAGGAGGAGGAGGAGGAGGAGAAGGAGGAGGAGGAGGAGGAGGAGGAGCAGCAGCAGCAGCATGAATAGCACTGGGCCTCAGGTGTGCCGCCGTTTTCGGAGGAGAGGGACTCCCCTCCGCGAAGGCGAGGGGGAAGAATGGGGGGGTGGCAGGGCGAGCTCCCCAGACCACCCACGCCCAGAGGGCTCGCAGAGGGATCTCTACACCGACCCTCTCGATACAGGGGGCTCATCACGCCATCCCGCCGACCCCCAGGCGAGGAGATGTGCGGCTTCCGAGTCCGCACGTGTGGTGTGCAGTCCCCTGTTGAGCTGCCTGCGTCGAGCTGTTGCCGGGTCGTCCTCCTCCAGTTCGGGTGCTGCAAGAAGGCCCCCCCCGGCCCCAGGTGTCCCCACGATCTCCAAGGAGGCCCCCGACGTCTCTGGAGCACCCCCCCTCCCTCACGAGGCCCAGAGGGCCCCAGGGGCTCCAAGATGGAGCGAGAAGCCAGGGGCACCTCGGGCCAAGGGCACCTTCCGCAGCCCTCGACCGATGGAGGCTGCAGATGTCGTGTCGGGATGCAGATGTCGTTTTCGTCGTCTCCTCCTTTGCTTTCGTCCTTCTCTCGGGTTCCTGTGGAGCAGCCTTGGGCCTTGGGGGGTCCTTGGACCACTTTGGGCCGTTTCGGGGGCCCAGTTGGGCTGTCTTGGAAGAGGAGGAGGGAGGAGAGAGGAGGAGGGAGGAGAAGCAGGGAGGAGGAGGAGGCGGAGGAAGAGGCGGAGGAGGAGGAGGAGGAGAAGCAAGGAAGGAGGAGGGAGGAATAGGGAGGAGGAGGGAGGAGGAGGGAGGAGGAGGGGGAGAGGAGGAGGAGGGCGGGGGAGGAGGGAGGAGGAGGGGAAGGAGAGAGGAGGGAGAGGAGGAGGGAGGAAGGAGGAGGAGGAGGGAGGAAGGGGAGGAAGGGAGAGGGAGGGGAGAGGAGGAGGGGGGAGGGGGGGAGGGGGAGAGGGGGGGAGGAGGAGGGAGGAGGGGGAGGAGGGGGGAGGAAGAGGAGGAGGAGGAGGAGGAGGAAGGGGGAAAGAAGGAGCACGAGGAGGAGGAGGGAGGCCTCTTCCTCCTCCTCCCTCCCTCTTTTGGCAGTCTTGGGGGCCCTCTTGGGCTGTCTGGGGGCCCTCTTGCGCCCGTCGTGGGGCCGTCGGAAGGCCGTCTGACGCGGCAGGGGCCGCCGCCGCCGCCCCGCCGCCGCCGAGGACCAGGCGGCCGACGCGGCCCACGGCGAGGTGTCGCTGCCTGTGGACGTTCCGCTCGCGGACGACGCCGCGGAATGGCTGCAGCGGCCGGACACGTCCCCATTTCGAGGGATGAAGCACATTGATTTTGACCAAGATGTCGTGGGATCTTGCCGACGCCTGTAATTCGGGGGCGGCCAAGAGGGGGGTGATGGCTATGGGGAGGGTGGATATCATGGCGGGGGCCATGCTATCTCCCCAGATGTCATGGCTTCTTTGTTATTTCAATACGTTCCCTGGCCCCCTCTGGTCCGCGCACATGCCTCAGCCCACGATTTGCACACACACACACACACACACACACACACACACACACACACACACACACACACACACACACTTTTTCCCAACCAACCTGTGTTGTTGGGTCCTCGGTTTGAAGAGACGGTGGCCCGCGTCTCCTCCTCTTCTCCTCCTCCTCCTCTCCTCTTCCTCCTCCTCCTCCTCCTCCTCCTCCTCCTCCTCCTCCTCCTCTCTCCTCCTCCTCCTCCTCCTCCTCCACCATCATCATCGTCATCACCCATTTCGGGCACAACCCTCAAACGTTCGTGCCCCCACAGGAGCTCCACCGAAGGTCCCAGTGGGTGTGCCCGCATGCGTCCCGCACACCCATTTCGGCACACCCCTCACACGTTTCGTGGCCCCATAGGGAGCTCCACCGAAGGTCCCAGTGGGTGTGCCCGCATGCGTCCCGCACACCCATTTCGGCACACCCCTCACACGTTTCGTGGCCCCATAGGGAGCTCCACCGAAGGTCCCAGTGGGTGTGCCCGCATGCGTCCCGCACACCCATTTCGGCACACCCCTCACACGTTTCGTGGCCCCATAGGGAGCTCCACCGAAGGTCCCAGTGGGTGTGCCCGCATGCGTCCCTCCCGCACACACACATTTCGGCGCACCCCTCACACGCTTCGTGGCCCCATAGGGAGCTCCACCGAAGGTCCCAGTGGATGTGCCCGCATGCGTCCCGCACACCCACTTTGGCACCCCCTTCACACGCTTCGTGACCCCATAGGGAGCTCCACCGAAGGTCCCAGTGGGTGTGCCCGCATGCGTCCCGCACACCCATTTCGGCCCACCCCTCACACGTTTCGTGGCCCCATAGGGAGCTCCACCGAAGGTCTCAGCGGGTGTGCCCGCATGCGTCCCGCACACCCATTTCGGCCTACCCCTCGCACGCTTCGTCGCCCCATAGGGAGCTCCACCGAAGGTCCTCCCGCACACTCATCTCGGCACACCCTTCACACGCTTCGTGGCGCCATAGGAAGCTCCACCGAAGGTCCCAGTGGGTGTGCCCGCATGCGTCCCGCACACCCATTTCGGCACATCGCTCACACGTTCCGCGGCCCCATAGGGAACCCAACCGAAGGTCCCAGTGGGTGTGCCCGCATGCGTCCCGCACACCAATTTCGGCACATCCCTCACACGTTTCGTGGCCCCATAGGGAGCTCCACCAAAGGTCCCCGTGGCGCAGTCCGCTTGCGTCTCCCCCACCCTGTACACCTCCGCCGGAGGCCACCAGTTCGCGCCTCCCTCGCCCGTCGTCGCTCTGCCCAGCGGCAAGAGCCTTGCCCGCTATCAGCCAGCCAGCTAGCTCTTTTTGCTGCGCGCAGCGGACGACCTGCGCGCGTCGCTGGGACCCCTCCGGGGCGACCTGCGCGCGTCGCTGGGACCCCGCGCTGCGCTGCGCCCGCAGCTTTGGACTTTTGAGTGCGCGGGCAAAGAGGGAGTAAAAGAAGGGGAGGAAGCGGGCGCGATCCTCGCGGTGGCGTCGCGGCGCGCGGGCGATGCCGTCGGGGAGCCCCGGGGAAACTCCTTGCGGCGGCCACGCCCAGCGTCACGAGTACCCAGGGCCAGTCATTCACAAACTATTAGCATTCATATACAATTGCACCATGCATTGGCGTACTCGCATTCATGCACGTAGACTCGCTCGTCGTGTACCACGCCACTCATTTCGGCACACCCCTAGCACGGTTCGTTGCCTCATAGGGATCACCACCGAGAAAAAGAATCACAACTGCGGTACTCACACCTGCATATGGTTGGGTCCTTCGTGAGGCTAATTTTTTACCATGCGAACAGGCGCCCCGTGGCTGAGGGGGGGAAGGGAGGGGGGGGGAAGGAAGGTGCGGTGCACCGAATTAGTCTGGCGGCCCCGGCCGGGCCCGCAGGCGCGCTTCCAGGGCGGCGCGCCAGGCCTCCGTGCCACCGCCGGCGCGCACCGCCGGCGCCAGCAGCAACATGGCCGCCCGCGGGGGCAGCGCCGGCGCCCACCCCGGGCACGGCCTCGCCGACAGCTGCGCGCACCGCGCCGCCGAAGCGCCGCAGCGCAGGCACGCCACCCAGCCCGAACCCTGCGCCGCTGCGTGCGCCTGCCATGCGGCGCCTGCGAAGAGGGCGCGCGCGGCTTCGGCTGGCGCAGGAGGCGTGACGGCCCCGCCGGCCTCAATCGCTGCCCGGGTACGCCGGCGCGGCGGCGTCGGAGCTGGCGCCGCCGGCGCCGCTGGCGGGTGCCGAGCTTTCCTGGCGGCGCGGGGCACTTGCGCGGCGGCCCAGCGGCGGCGCACGCGCGGCCCCTCGGGCCCGCGGCTCTCGTGGTTGGCTCGCAAGGCCGCCAGTTCAACCGCAGCGAGCACCCGCTGTGCTGCGGCCAGCGCCGTCAGCTGGAAGTCGCGTTCCAGGCAGACCGGTGGCGGGGGGAGCCGGGCTTTGGCCGCTGCGCCTGCCAGCCGGTCACCAGCCGCGTTGCCCGCCCTGTCCTCCGCGGACAGCCCCCGGGCGAGCGCTTCCTCGGCGGTCGTGTGGCCCTTGACCCATCGCGCCGTGAGGAACCCGCTCCGGCTGTGCTCCGCGATGCGCTCCCATAAATCGGAATGCGCCCAGTCGAGGTAGCATGCGCCGGCACGCAGGGAGGCCACGCCATTGCGGACGAAGCGGGAGTCCGTGATGACCTCCACGGGCGCCCCCGCCAAACTGACGGCTTGGACGGCGGCGGTCAGCTCAGCCCGCTGCGCAGTCTGCGCCGCGTCCACCAGCCCACTGTGGTCGCTCGTGCCGTGGGGCCCCTCCAGCAGCAGTCCCCAGGCCGCCCGGGCCACACACACACACACACACACGCCTTGGACCCCCCCCTCTTGAACGCCCCCGCGGTCTTGGTCATGGTCCATGCCAGCCTTCGTCGTTTCGCGGGGGTGGTCCACGAGGCGACGCTGACCAAGATGGACGGTGACCAAGATCAGCGCGACGTTTCTACGTTCCGTCCTTAGGGGAACAAGAAGTGGCATAAAAATAAAAACTCGGAGGTCCGCGCGGATTTCTCGGATCGGCGCTGGACCCCCTTCCCTGGCGCGCGGAGCGCGCCAGGGGCGGCGCCGGAGGCGCCGCAGGGGGGCCCCAGCGCCGGTCCGAAATATCCGCGCGGACCTCCGCCGGGGGGCCCCAGCGCCGATCCGAGAAATCCGCGCGGACCTCCGAGTTTTTATGTTTATGCCACGTTCTGTTCCCCTAGTCCTGGCCCCAGGAGGAGGAGGAAAAGGAGGAGGAGGAAGTGTTGGATGAGTAGGAGGAGGAGGAGGAGGAGGAGGAGGAGGAGGAGGAGGAGGAGGAGGAGGAGGAACGAGGAGGAGGAGGAGGTAAGGAGGAGGCGGAGGAGGGAGGGGAGGAGGAGGGGGGGAAGGAGGACGGAGGAGGCATGAGGAGGAGGAGGAGGAGGTAAAGAAAGGCAGTAGGAGAGAGAACTTTAGCAGGCCTAGGAGGGCCTTGAGACATCCCGGGACTCAACGGTAGAGAGGAGTGACGGAGGAGGGAGGAGAGGAGGAGGAGGAGGGAAGCGGAGGAGGATGGAGGAGGAGGAGGAGGACGGTGGTGGAGGAGGAATAGGAGAGGGAGGAGGAGGAGGACCAAGAAGGAGGAAGGAAAAAGAAATAGGGAGGAGGAGGAGGAGGAGGGAGGAGGAGGAGGAGGAGGAGGAAGCAAGAGAATCACGTCTGAGTCACCGTCCATCTTGGTCAGCGTCGCCTCGTGGTCCACCCCCGCGAAACGACGAAGGCTGGCATGGACCATGACCAAGACCTCGGGGGCGTCCTGGCCATGGTCCCCGCTTCCTTCCCCCCTCGGGGAGTCTCGGGCGGCCCCAAATGGCGGCCCCGCGACCGCCCCGTGGCGGCCTCCGGCGGCCCTCCGTGGCCCCCTTTGCGGCGGGCGGCGAGCGGCGGCCGGGCACGTCCCCGCACGTCCCCGCGACCCTCCTCCTCCTTACTACTACTTCTTTACCTACTACTCCGCCCTCCAAACCCAGCATAATATTACCCCCAACCTAGACATCCCCTTTGTACTTCCTCCCCCCTACTACTTCCTCGGCCTCAATTATCTCTTTCCCCGCCTCCCCTCCTAATCACATCACCCACCCTCTCCACCCATCCCTCACATCCCAGCTCCTCCTCCTCCCACTCCTCCTTCTCCCCCTCCTCGTCCTCCCCTCCCCCTTTTCATAGCCTGCTAACCGCGTAGTGGTTTGCGGGGCAGGAAAATCTTAGGGGGCGGCTGCGGCGGCGGCCGCTCGCAGACGACGCCCGGTATAGCGGCTGCGGCGGCCGGCCGCGTCCCGGGGGGGCCCCGGCGGCCTGCCTCAGCGGCTGCGGCGCTACGGGCGGTAGCGGCAGCGACGGCCGCTCACAGTTCGGAGACTCGGGAGGCCTCAAATAGACGGGGTCTGAGTAGACGGGGTCGGAGCATCGCGCCGCATCGCCGATGCATCGGCGATGCGGCTCGATGTGGAGCCCGATTGTTTCCTTGTTTCCACGCCGATGGTGCCGATGCAGCGCCGACGTCGCAGGTGTATCACCAATGCATGGCCGATGTATCGATGATGCATCGGCGATGCGGCGCGATCTTCCGACCCCATCTACTCCGACCTCATCTGGGAGGCCTCTAGAGACGCCTCGGGGGAGTTACCCGGAAATGAGGAGACGAGGAGGAGGATCGGCGGCGAGCGAGGGGGGGAAAGGAGAAGGAGAAGGAGAAGGCCCTCTCAGAGGGCGGCGGGGCTTCTCAGAAGCCCTTAGACCTTCTGGGAAACTTATCTTCTGTCTGCGGGGTAGGCCGAGAAAAGTTTCCACAGAAGGCCAGAGGGCGTCCGTGCTTTTTGAGAATTTTGGGTTGACCCAAAAGGGGGGTCCAGCGACGAAGGGGTGGTGCAATAGATGTGGTGCAATAGATTCGCGGTGTTGCCATACAGTTGGGGCGTGCAGTACATGTCGGGGCGCAGATGTATTGCTGAAGTGGTCGCGTGCCACGCCTCACTTGCAATACGATGCAATACAGTTCTCTGGCGCAGTGCATTTGCAACACGATTGCCCCAGATCTGGTGCACCACCCCCTTGCAGCTGGACCCCCCTGAGGGTCACCCAGAAAGGATCAGGCGGGAAAAAGGCACACAGGCACCATTCAGCGTCGACTCCCCAGAACAATATGGGAAAAGAGGGGAAGTGGGAGGGGGAGACGAAAACCCCCCCGACTAGGGGAAAATAGGAGGTATTCTTGTATTCGTGTGTATGTCTTCGTGTGCCCATGGGGCCCCCCCCCCCCCCCAACGAAGGCCCGCGCCCCTCTCGCGGCGCCCGGGGCCCGCCGCCGCGAGACTGGCGAGGAGCCGCGCGCCGCAGCCGGGGTGCGCACGTTGGCCCCGCGCAGACACACAGAGGATCTGGGCCTGCGTCGGGCGCGCCCCTCCACAGGGGGAGCAGCCAAAGAAATAGTCAAAAAATAGTCCGGGGACGACTTTTTTTTTTTTATTTGTAAGCATTTAGGAACTCTCTGTTTGAGTGTGTTGCATTTTTTCGCCCACAATCCCCCCCCTGTAGGGGGACACGCCCGACTTAAATCTGGGCTTGCGTCGGGCTTGTCCCTCCACAGGAGGAACATTCAAAAATAGTCAAAGCATAGCCCGTGGACGGTTTTTATGAATCTGTTTGACCATGCGTTTGGCTATGCTTCGACTGTTCTGTCACTTTTCACCTTGAATCCGCCTGCAGGGGGACGCGCCCGACCTGACGCTACAGCGAGAGCGCTCAAGTTCGCGCAACGTAAGCAGAAAGAGGATCTAGGCCTCCCAGACGGGGTCCGGGCAGATGGGGTCGGAGGATCGCTCCGCATCGCCGATGCATCCGCGATGCAGGTCGGTGTGGAGCTCCATGTTCGCCAGGCCGACGCCGCCGATGCAGCGGCGATGCGGCGCGATCCTCCGATCCTATCTGCTTGGACCTCCTCAAGGGGGCCTCCAGTGGAGGACGGAGGAGGTGGATGGCAGAGGTGGAGCAGAAGGAGGAGTAGTAGGAGAGGGACGATGACGAGTGGGACGACGGAGTATGATGCAGGTTGGGGACGCGGATGGACGGAGGAGGGGGATAGGATGATGGGGAGAGAGGTGCAGTAGGAAGGGGACGAGGAGGAAAACATAAGCAGGACAGGAGCGAGAGGACAGGAGAAGAAGGAGACGGAGAAAGGGAGGAGGAGGAGGAGGAGGAGGAGGAGGAGGAGGAGGAGGATAATCATTCACGTCGTCCCTCTTATCCTCCTCCTCCTCCGTCTCTCGCGCGGACGCTGTGCATCGACGACGTCGACTGCGACGACCTCGACGGCCACGGCGACGACCTCGCCGACGACAGCGACGACGCCGACGACGCCCGCGTCGAAAAATCGACGACGGCCTCCGGTCCGGTGGCCCCCCGTCGGCCCCAGCTGCTTGGACCCCTGGTCCTTCCAATTTATTCAGGAATCGCTCTCCTGGCGCTCTGGAGTCGCGCTCTCGCTGGAGACTCGCTCGCAGTTTGCTGACGCATAGCGCCCTTGCGTCGGAATGTCCTGTAGTCTACCCAAGCTCCGCGCTCCCGACACCCAGGCGCCCAGGAGTCGCGCTCACGCTTCCTGCTCCCTCACAGATTACTTAGGAATCGGGATCTCGCTGCCCTTCGTGGCCCCGTTGCAGCCCTTCGTGGCCCCCTCGCTTTGTTTCGTGGCCCCGTTGCAGCCCTTCGTGGCCCAGGAGTCGCGCTCACGCTTAGGGTTCCCTCACAGACCCCCGGCCCTCCGGCAGGTCCGTGTGCGCCGGGCGGCCCGGCGACCTCTTCCTCTTCCCGGGCCGCAAGCCGCACTGCGGGGCGAACGGCCGCCGCCTCCTCCACCTCCTGCTCCTCCTGCTGCTCCTGCTCCTCGTGCTCCTCCTCCTCCTCCTCCTCCTCCTCCTCCTCCTCCTCCTCCTGCTCCTCCTGCTCCTCCTCCTGCTCCTGCTCCTCCTCCTCCTCCTCCTCCTCCTCCTCCTCCTCCTCCTCCTCCTCCTCCTCCCTGAATCACGTGAATGCGATAGCACGCGGACGCCGCCACTGCTACAAGCTCGAGCACGCGGACCTCTGGCACGATCTTTTTTCGCTGCTTGACGTCCGCGTGGGCCGCTTCGCGCTCCTGCACGTGCCCTCGCATCTAGCTGAGGACCCCGCGAAGTTTGCGCGTCTAGGCCACACTGTGCTGCCCGAGGCTATCTTTCTCAATGCAGTGGCCGACGGGCTCGCCGAGGAGCGGTCTGAGGAGGCCCAGCTTGATCCTGATGTAGCGCGTCGCGCTTTGGACTTGGTGGAGCAGGCCGAGGCCATCCTGCTCCGCAATGCTACGCTCTGTGCTGCCGCCGCCTCCGCCCCCAAGAGCCCTGGCCGTGAGGTTATCAAACCGAAGGTTTCTAGGGCTCAGAGGAGGGAGGAGCTGCTTTCTGGCTTCGCGGCTCGTTCCCAGCATGCCTTTGTGCCGACCGCTTTCGGCTGGTGCTGCAAGAGCTGTGGCCGATCGGTCAGGCGCACTCAGAGCCGCGCCCTCCACCTCCTGCGTTCATCGTGCTCGGCCCTGCGGCCGTCGCCTTGCTCGCCTCCCTGCCGCGTGGAGCTGCAGCAGCGAGGCCAGCTGAGGGAGGGGGACGGGGCGGTCGAGGACGGGGGGGGGACGGTGTGTTGCCTCTCGAGCCTGCGGCAGAGCCAGAGGCGGAGGACACTGCTCCCGCGCCTCGGGTCTGCGTCAGGCTGCCGCGCTCGTACGAGGGGCTGCCGCCCATCGACGAGCAACTCTTTCGGTCTCTGGGGATGCCTGATCCCCCATCTCGTCTGCCTCCTGGCACTGGCATCGCTGGACATGTGCCGCATGCCTCTCACTTTTTGTGGCGCAAGGGCGCCATCACGTTCTGCAGCACCTGCGGGCGATACGCGGACTCCAGGCCCTCGCTTCTTCTGGAGGAGTGCGAGGCGGCGAGGTACGGACCCCTCGCGCTGACTAAGGCGCAGCTGACTGCCCTGATGCGGCTGCGCAAGGGCCTCCCTCCCAGGCCTGGGGTCCGCGAGTGGCCCTCGGCGGGTGTTTAGCCCGCAGGTTTTGTTTGCCAGCCTGTCGCCCGGCCTTTTTGCTCTCGCGAATAGGGTGTGCGCCTGGCTGCCGCGCATTGCAAAAACTCCTCCTCCCTCCTCCTCCTCCTCCTTCTCCTCCTCCTCCTCCTTCTCCTCCTCCTCCTCCTCCTCCTCCGCCCCCTGCCTCTCGTTTCGGCACCGTGGGCGTCGCCGCCGTCGTCGGCGTCGATGTCGTCGCCGCCGCCTTCGCCGTCGTCGTCGCCGCCGCCGACGTCGGCTTCGGTGACGTGGTCGCCGTCGTCGCTGTCGCCGACGTCGCCATCGGTGTCGTCGCTGTCGATGTCGTCGCCGTCGATGTCGTCGCCGTCGTATGCTGCCGTTGTCGATATGGTATCCGTCGATGCCGCCGCCGTCGGTGTCGTCGCCGCCGTCGCCTGGCTTGTCGTCGCCGTCGCCTTCGGAGGAGGAGGGTGAGGGGGAGTGATGAGGATGAGGGGGAGGGGAAAGCAGAAGTGGAGGAGGAGGAGGAGGAGAAGACGGGAGGAAAGGAAGAACGAGGAGAGGGGGAGGGAGAAGGAGAGCTGTCATCCTCTCCCAACTTGTCTTTTAATCCCACCTTGGTATCCTTCTTGTACCCATCCTTCTGTGTTTGCCCGGGTAGCGCTTGCTTTAAGGGATTATTCATTCGCTGAGAAGGAGTTTGTATCAGCGTAAGCAGCATTCGTTTGTCAACATACCCATTCGTGGAGACGAGTTATCGAAGACGCCTACGGCGAATCACCGCCGCACCCTGCCTTTTGGAATCGCCCATGTCGCCGAACGTTGTGGCAGAGCTCTGGCAAGCTATCGGACCATTTGTTCCCCCAGCCATTGTGGAAAACCTTCGGGGAATACTTGTGAGCGGATGGCGGCGAGGATCAGGAGGAGGAGGAGGCGGAGGAGGAGGAGGAGGACTGGACGTCTTGGGAGCCTCTGGGGGCCTTCTTGAAGCCCCCTGGGAGGCCTCTTGGAGCCGTCTTGTCGGCCTCCTGTGTTCTCGTGGCGGCCTTTGGGGGCTTCTTGGGGGCTTTTGTGGCCGTCTGAGGGCGTTCCTGGCCCGTCTGACGCCTTCGAAAGCCGTCTTGGGGGCCTCTCTGAACCGACTTGGGGCCATCTTGAGGTGCTCTAGGACCGTCTTGAAGGCCATCTTGGACGCCTTGGAGGCCTCTTGGGCCGTCTTGGGGCTCTTTTGGGGCAGTCTTGGGGGGCCTCTTGGGCTTTTCTGGGGCCATCTTGGAGGCCTCTGGGGCGCTCTGGGGGCGATCCTGGGGGGCTCTTGGGCCGTCTCGAGCCCAAGTG